GCCACGGAGAGGACCATGACCATGGAGAGGACCACAGCCACGGAGAGAGAACCACAGCCACAGGGAGGACCTGAGCTGCACCCCGGCTTCCCCTGAGCGTGACCCCAGCAGGCAACCCACCTGCTGTCAACCCGAGCTCTTTGCTCTGTAAACCAGGGCAATGAGTCCTTGGCCGGGGGCTCCTGTGAGTGTGAGATGGAGTCAGGGCGGCGTGTGCGCTACAACATGTTGGCCCCTGGCTGGTTCTCAGTAAACCCCAGCGAAGCGGGAATCAAGCCGTGACAGGGCCGTGGGAATGGTGAGCGCCCGAGCTCTGCCTGCACCATCTCTACCAGCTCCACTTCCTTAATCAGCCAACAACTGCATGACTCCTACTGTGTGGCTGCACACAGTCAGCCTGCAGACACGTGGGGCTGGAGCTTGTCCTGTGAGCACCGTGCAATCAGCTGAACAATGACCCCAAAGAGCTCAGGCCCTCGGCCCTGGAACCCGTGTCTCTTACCTCACGTGGCGCTTTTTGCAGGCGTAAGTTAGGGGTCTTAGAGGGGGGATGACCCTGGCGGGCCCTAAAGGCCGTTGCAAGTGTGCCACCGAGACAGGCAGCAGCGGAAGAATCTGCGTGAGGACGGCGGGAGAGGCCGGAGGGATGCGGCGGCCAGGGGACGTCCTCCCCGAGAGCCTCCGGGAGGAGGGCGCCCTGCCGACCCCTGGGTTTCAGGCTTCTGCCCCACAGAACTGGCAGAGAATGAAGCTCGGTTGTTTTAACCCAGCAAGTTTGTGGCCGTTGGTGACAGCAGCCCGAGGAAGGAATCCAAGCTGCATGCCAAGCCGGGAAACAGACGTGCACACGCTTAACCAGAATGCAGTGCTTTCAAGGCCCCGCTGTGCGAGCAACCAGCCCGGGCACTACTGGGGCTGAGCGCCACCTAAGTCCGCAGGCTCTGTGGGCGGCCCCGAATCAGGGCGCATTGAGCAAGAGCCCCAGGGGGCCAGGACGGGCGACGGGAACGCAGACCCGAAGGGCGGTCTCCAGGCACCGACGGCAGGACTGACCACGGGGCCGGGCACAGGATAGCAGTCCCCGCTCGGAGGGGTGGCCGCTTGGGGTGTGCACCTGCACAGAGGGGGCGTGAGGCTCGGAAAGGCTGCTCAGCAGGCTGTGCCGACGCACAGAGGAAAGAGAGGCATGAGGACGGGGCCAAGGAAGCGGGTGACAATGTGACACTCGGGCTGTGAGCAGGCGTGCCCACTGGCCCGCACTCGAGGGTTCTGAAACGCGGCCTGGAGAGATGCACAATGATGGTTGGAAAACAAGGGGTTCAGAGTCGGGGGCCTGACGAGAAGCTGCCCGGGGGGGGGACCTCGGTTTCAGCGCCTATGGGCAGCGAGACCCCAGGCAAGCAATTTAACCCTGCCAGGCGCTCCCGAAGACCAGACCCTGCATTTGTCTTGTTCACGACTGGAACCCCAGAATGGGACTCGCAGCAGGTGCACGGGAATGAAGGAACAGGGGCCCCTGGGTGGCTCAGTCGTTAAGCGTCTGCCTTCAGCTCAGGTCAGGATCCCAGGGTCCTGGGATCGAGTCCCGCGTCGGGCTCCCCGCTCAGTGGGGAGTCGGCGTCTCCCTCTGCCCCTCCTCCCTCTCATGCTTTCTCTCTCTCTCAAATAAATAAATTTAAAAAAAATCTCAAAAAAAAAAAAGAATGAAGGAATAAATTGGCTCCCCTCATCCTTACAACCATGCTGTGAGGGTAAGTTCTGTATCGTTAACTCCATTTTAAAGATGAGGAACCTATAAATAAAATCTTAAAAAAAATAAAATAAAATTTAAAAGTTAAATCTTTAAAAAACAAAAAAAACCTCTGCTCCTCCCCCCACTCATGCTCTCTCTCTCTCTCAAATAAATAAAATCTTTTAAAACATAAATAAAAAAAAAGAAGAAGATAGCCGGAGGGGAAGAATGAAGGGGAGTAAGTCGGAGGGGGAGACGAACCATGAGAGACAATGGACTCTGAGAAACAAAGTGAGGGTTCTAGAGGGGAGGGGGGTGGGGGGATGGGTTAGCCTGGTGATGGGTATTAAAGAGGGCACGTTCTGCGTGGAGCACTGGGTGTTATGCACAAACAATGAATCATGGAACACTACATCCAAAACTAAGGATGTCATGTATGGTGATTATAACAATATATAACAATAACATTATTGTTATTATATATAACAATATATATTGTTATATAACAATAACAAATTAAAATTGAAAAAAAATAAAGAAAGATGAGGCACCTAAGTCTGGGAGGGTCAATGACTTGCTGAGGGTCACACAGCCAGAGGGATCTGGGGGTGGACCCGGGTCTGCCTCTGGCCGTCGTGGTGCCCGAGTGAGAACACCCGGCGGGCAGAGTGGCCTGGCTCAGCCCGGTCACAGGCCACGGGGTCGCGGCACCAGGACTACGGGAGCCTGCCGCTACTCCACAGCTTCGCTCGGGAAGGAGGGAGACAGAGCGGATTCCTGGGGTCTTCCTGGTCCCAGGGACTGAGCTTCACAGCCCCTGGCAGCCAAAGCTGGGGCGGAGGGCCACAAGCAGATGGCAGGGCCCGGGAATGCCGGAGTGGGGACGAGATCGCACAGACAGCTTCTTGGCCAGAACAGGGTGCGCAGGCGAGTGGGGGACGTGCGGAGCCCGCTGGGCCTGGCCGCCCTCACCTGTTATGATGACTTCATCACCGTCCAGCAGGAACTTCCTGGTGTGTCCGTGCCCCAGCTCAATGGCCTTTGTCCCCCTCCACGACAGCTCCAGCATGCTGCCAAAGCTCTCTGGCTCCTTCGGCAGAGGAAGGGGAAGAAATCCACACATGCGCTTCCATCTTGGTGAGCATGTCGGCTGCAGGGCGGACGCTTGGCAAAGCCGAGGAGCCCCGGGCAGGGACGGGTGGGACCTCTGCTCCGGGCCCTGTTTGCGCTGTTTGGGACTTGGGTGCTTCTGTGGCCGCCCTGGGGGCTGCAGCGTACCCAGACGTTGCCACGCTTGACACCCTCCCACTGGGAAGAGAGTTCCCACCGACCCACAGGCTGCGGTCAGGACCTTGCAGGAAGTAACTTGCACATGCACCATCCCAAAGTCACCATCCCCTAAGGTTCTACGACTCTCCCATGAGCTTAGGGTGGCATGGGGGTGCAGGGGACACAGCAGTGGGGTCACCTCATCCCAGGAGGGTGCATGGGAGCCGGTGACAACCAGACACCATGGCCGCCCCCTGACGCCCCTCACATGTCACCCTGTCCCCCGAGCAGACAGATGCAGCCTCCCATCTGACAGTGTCTCTAGGACTGGACCTGGAAAGGAAGCCCCCGTGCACCCCCCACCGGATGAAGCTGTAAGAAGGAAGAGTTGTCAGATGCACCCGCCCCGGGTGGGAAGCCCCTTCTGCAGGACGCGCTCAGGGCCCTCGTGTCTGTGTGCGGAGTAGGCTGTCTACACGGGCAGCGCCCAAGGCCATCAGAGACTCACCGGCCCGCTGATGGTTCCCGAAGCCAACAGGTCCCCTGGGCGAAGGTTGCAGCCATTGACGGTGTGGTGGGTCAGCTGCTGGAGCATCGTCCAGTACATGTACTGCAGGCAGGGACACAGAGGGGGACAGGGAAGGTGGCTCACCCCAGCCTCCTGGTTGGCAGCTCACACAGCCACTCATGGTAGACAGCCTCCCCTGGGCTCTCTCCCGGTGCCAGCTCGCCCCGGTCGCTCACAGCAACCACAGGCTCTCCTCCTGGGGTCCTCCCCCTCCTCCCGGCTGTGCACTGGCCTGGGCTCCCCGGCTCCTTCAGGCTCCCTAACCTACCTTCTCCAAGAAGGCAGACCTTCTCCCCGCTCAGATGCTCAGTCTGCAACCCGCCCCTCTGTCCGCAATCACACACTGCCCTGTGAATACCCTGAGGTCCTGAGTTGGCATGCTTTGGGACCTCATCAAGCAGAGGCTTCTTATGAGCAAAGAGCTCACTTGCATCCCCCTTTCCCGACCCCGGGCCTACCCCACCTCCCCGGACCTTAGAGCACAGAGCAAACAGGATGTCAGGCAGGCCCAGGAGTGAAGGAGCATGAAGGGAGCTCCACCTGGGGAAGGGGGCCAAGGACCATAGGGTCACCAAGATGCTCAGAAGCAGTGCCAGCCCGCGCCTCTCCAAGCCCACAGCTTCTTAGATCTGCCACTCCTGGAGCCACATGTCTAGACGCAGGAGAACTTAGAAACGGGTTCTTGCCCAAGAGCCCCCTCAAGGAGGCCCCCTGATTCCTTGGCCGCCTAAGGAGCCCAGAACAATGTCCAGTTAGAAGGGAGACTAGAAGAAACAGGAGTACGCTGGTCCCAAGAACGCTCACATGTCCAGTAACCACGTGAAAGGTGCCCGGGGGAGGGGCGGGTAGACGTAAAACCACCGCGCCCGGAGCAGCTGAAGGGAGAAGGCGCACGGCCGCCGAGCCGGCCAGGGGGTGGAGCGAGCGGCGGGCAGCCGGGATGCCGGCGGGCTGTGGGCTGCGTCCGGGCTGGCTTGAGCTCCTCGGGAAAGTGTCGGGAAGCCCTTCTGGACCGAGTATATAGACGTAAGTGCTCTGAACAAAGGGCCCAGCGACTGCGCTCCTGGATACACAGCCAACTGGAAAGTGCCCGTGTGTGCCCCCAGGACGTGTACTGGATTGTTCCCAGGGAGTCTAGACTCGCCGCAAGTGGGAACAACGCACACGTCCGCCAAGAGCGGAGAGCCAGTGGTGGAACGTCTCCGAGACAGGAATGAAGCCCCGCTAGGATCAGCACACGGCCGGACCGCACGGCCACAGCGTGGAGCAAAGGAAGCTGGAGGGAGGAGAGCACACACTGCACCCTTCCATTTCCATAAAACTGAAGAACAGACCAATTTCGTGCACTGCCACACAAGTCCAGAGAGAGGTCCCCCTTGCAGGGGGAGGGGTGGCGATGACGTGACTGGAGGGGGACAGTGGGGGGCAGCGGAGGTCCTGCAAATCTCCATTCCCCTGCCCCACTGATGGCCACGCAGGGACGCTGACTTTGTGAAAATTAACTTAGAATGTGTGCATTTTCCTCTGTTTGTGTTAGACTTCAATGAGAAGCTCAGTTAAAACAAACGTAAGGCACTCGGATCAATCTATTCCCCACCAGGACAGAAGCAGCCAGAGACTAGACGCTTATAGGAACATCGATTGCTCCCCCAAGGAAATCACCGGTCACGTCTACGCAGCCTGCATCTGGAGGGATCCCTGTGGCCTCGCGGCCTCTCTGGAAAGGATCAGGGCCACAGAAGCTCCAGGCCCACGCGCCCAGCCACCACCGTATCCCGGAATGGCTGCAAGCCTCCTGTTCTTGCCGGGAGGATGACCCCGCGTGCCGCACTTCCAAGAGGCAGTCTGCCCAGCTTCAAAGCTCACCTTAAAATTGGACTTGCAGATGGTGGCTGCCTGGCTCATTCCTTCTCCTGTTGAAAACACAAGTAGCATCGGCAAGGGGACTTCACGGATCAAGAAGGGGGGGAACACTTGTAAGGGAAGCGGTCGTGTGGCCCGTGAAGCAGTGGGCTCACAGCACATCGGAGCCGGGGATCTGCACCGAGGTGATCACCTGAGACAGTGCGCACGTCGAAACCTACCTGCCTCTCCCCCAGACGGGCAGCGTCCAGTTTACGACATACTTCAGCGGTATTTATCATAAACAGGCAAGGCACCAGGCCACTGCTGTTCCATTTCCCCACCGTGCTCACACCCAGAAAGCCCTCTGCTCCCTCAGAACCCGTGGCCCTGGCTTCCCCTCCGAGGCTGCACGGACAGGTGTGCTCCTTGGCCCCAGGTCAGGTCAGGGTCCCCACGCCGGCTCCGGACCACACCTGTCACCCAGATCCCCACGGGGCCGTCAGAACGGCACGTTCGGGACTGGGGAGGGGAGGGGGTCTTGGAAGCCACCCCTGCTCTCAGTTCTCCCCTTCTAGGTCTTTCTACGTCTCCGGACACTGCACCTTCTTGATAATCCCGTCCCTTCCCCAACGGGGCATTCCCCGGGATGTTTCCAGGCAGGCAGACGAACCCAAGACAGAAGTGGGCCCCCAAGAGGGTCTGTGGGTAGGAGACCGGCCCAGATCCAATGACACCAGGTTTCCTCTCAGCCTGGCCAGTAGGCCCCGAAGCGACTTGGGGTGAACCCCTTGCCCTCTCTTGAGCTTCGTTTTCACACAACGTATAAATGAAAGGACAGGGCCGCCATAGATCTCCAGAGAACACGACACTGCATCTGTGGGACATTTCCTAGAGCCCCTTCCTCTGTAGGGTGTCCTGTTCCCGCGGTGACAGTTCCGCCCCCTGCTGCAGGGGAACCACTTCCGTGAAGGGCGGGGAGCTGGAGCAGGCGGGGCATACACCAGACAAGAGAAGGAGAGAGACCCAGGCCCGAGTGTGGCCAGGGGTCTGAGTGCGGCCCCCTGGCAAACCCTCCCCCAGCCCCAAGGGCCCCCACCAGGAATGGAAATGACACCAGCCTCTTCCTAGGTACCAGCTCTGCTCTAGACCTTTACAGAGTCCACCTCCTTAACCCTCACAACCACACTCTCAGGTCAGTGCCATTACTGGCCCCTTTTGCAGACGACACACTGGGGCGCAGGCAGGTTCAGCCACTTGCCCAGAGCCCCCACAGCTGAGCAGGGGTGGGGTGGACCCCAGGCATGGCCTGCGGAGCCACGTTCTTTACACTAACACTCTATGGGCTTATTAACAGAGTCGAGCTGAAGAGCCTCCGGGGGACGTGGGCCCCGTCTGCGAGGCTGTCAGGGCCGACCCAGGGTGGGGTGGGGGGCACTGGCTGTGTGGCCCCGGAGAGCAGAGCCAGGCTTTCCAGCAGGCCCTGGATGGAACATGGGGCACAGGAGGGAGGGGTCAGGTGTGTGCGAGCGGAGGCTGGGCAGACCCTGGCTGGGGGGCCGACAAGGGGATTCTGGCAGAGGAGGGAGGTCCCGGACTCCGTGCTTTCTGGCCCAGAGAGTGGAGAGCGCAGTAACCGGCCGCGAACGTCCTCTGGGCTTCTGTGGTGTCCTCCGAGCAAAGGGCATCCTGGCCCCTTTCCCTTCGCAGGACCCCCACAGCTCCATGGCCACAGCAGGTGATGCCGTCTCACCGCCCCCAGCCCCCAGAGCTCAGGGGCGATCAGGCAAAGGCCCCCGGACACCCCCCCGACACCTCGACAGTACCTTTCAGGGTGACAGAGAGGCTGATGTCGAACGTGTAGGGCCGGTCGTGGCGGAGATATGGCAGGGGCCTGGGGTCCTGTGAGGGCAGAGCACGGCACAGGGGTGGCTGGCAGATGGCGCTGGCCCAGGGGGCCCACAGAACACCAGCACCTGCTCCCCCCACCCTACGCAGGGGCCCCCAGCCTCAGGCAGAAGGAGCTCCCCGCACAGTAGGGACCAGGGGGGTCACGTGCGCCAGGCTGGGGAGAGAAGCCGGGGGAGGAGCATCCGCAGCTCAAGGGCACAGGGGTCAGATCAGAGGTGCCCCAGAAAGCCAGGGAGCAGGGACGCGCAGCCCTGTCGGTGCAGGCCCCATGGAGGCAGCCCCACGGCCAGGCCACGGAGTCCACACGGCCAGGCCACGGCGGTGCTGCTGGATGGGCAACACACGAGTAAGCTGGGGTGACTGTAACACTTCCGTGTTTCTTTTTAGGATTAACTTGATGGCCAGTGACACCAGTGGGGATATAAAGTAAAAACAAACTAACAAAAAAACCTTCCTTTTCTAAATACATTATTTGAGTTTAAAAACGAGAGCTGCTTTAAAGGAAAACATCAAAAAAATCACAGGCAGAGGTAGCAAGAATTGCGAAGACCCCACAGGGCAGGTGTTTGGGAAGGTCTGGCTCCCGGGAAGGCAGACAGGAGGTCTCCCATGACAGGCAGCTGTGCAGGGGTGGGAAGGGTGCAGCATGGCCCACAAGGAGGAATGAGGGTGCCTCTTCGTGAGGCATCGGCTCGCAGGCAAAGACTCCAAGCGTGCTTTGAGCAGAGCAGACATGGGCGTGGGAGGGCAGCGTGGATGCAGGCGCCCCAGGAGGGTGTTGGGCGGACGGCAAAGGGCTGAGAGCATCGCAGGCCTCGGGGAGACCCGGGAGGCGGGGACAGAGAGCGCCGGGGAAGAGCAGGGGGCTGCCGCGGGCCCACGCTGGAGAGGTCACAAGGCCAGAGCCCCTGGAAAGGGTGCTGGGACCAGGACACACCCCGGTTGCCTGGCTCCAGGCTGCATTCTACCAGTTGGGCTCCAGGGGGCACCCCCGCACAGAACAGAACTTGGTGAGGTTGTGCAAGGTGGTGGCACTGGCCAGGACCCCTTCTCTTCCTGCCGACAGGCCTCAGAGGATTCCGAAGGGTACAGAATTCTGCGTTTTCCCCCAAGAGCTGGGTGGGGAGCAGGGAAAGCACAGGCAGAATGATGGGGGCCAGGCCTGCCTGAGGCCACTGCAGGGGACCCCCCCAGCACGCGGGCAGGCAGGGGCACGGAGCTTCCCTGCAGATGCAGACAGCGTGGATGGCCGGTGGGCAAGCAGCCGCAGAGGCACAGGGCCCGGGCACAGCTTCCCGCAGAGAGAATGCTTACCTGCTCTGGGTTGGGCACGGCAAAGGGCATGAGGGCCTCCATGGGCACCACCCACGGAGAGATGGTGGTTCCAAAACTCTTGCCAAGGAACGGCCCAAGAGGGACATACTCCCATTTCTGAATGTCCCGAGCTGCAAGAGGAGGGCGGAGCAGGGCTTACAAAGGCTGCCCAGGGCCGCGCCCCAAGGCTCCATCCTCCCCTCCACCGAGGAGCACCGCCGTCCTGCACGGAGCCCTGACCCCGGCCAGGTTGCCCCGGACCACGGGGACCACGGGCACCATGGGCAACAGCATTCAGGGCCAAGAACAGAGGTCCTTTGAGGTCACTGTGCCAGGTTACAGCAAAGAGAAGGATGACCAAAGGGCAGGCAGGCATTGCCCGGGGAAGGGGCTGGAAGCTCATCCTCCCCCTGGGGGCGGGGAGGGCAGACACTTCCCAGGACTCAGACATGAGGCGTAGGGGTCGGGAGCCGCTGGGACACTGAGCTGCTTTAGTTTGAAATCTCAGCTCAGCAATAACTGCAATCTCTCTGTGCCTCAGTTCCTCACCTGTGAAAGGGGGATACTAAGGTTACCAGACCTTGTGGGGGTTCAGCACAGAGGTGCTCACAAACATCAGCTGTGACGTCAGCCTTGTCCCTGGTTGACTTACAGGAACACAGGAGATCAGAACAGGGAGGTAACTGGCCCAGGACTCAGAGCTGAGAAGTCTGCGTGACACCCAAGCCACGCTCCCCACCTCTGGCCAGCACCAGGCCCCAAAACCATCCACGGCTTCTGAGACAGGGTCCCCAACACCCAGTCTTCAGCCAGAGCAGGGCGCGCAGTGAGCCCGACCTCAGGACGCCCACACCCCAATAATTACCGCTCCAGTCGTTCATAAGAACCATTCCAAAAATGTGCTCATGGGCCCTGGAAATGGGGATCGGCTCTCCAAAGTTGTTCCCAGGGCCTACAAAGAAAGCCTGATGTGGGGGAAAGTTGATTAGAATCGGGGCACTGGGCTGGAGGGCAGAGGTCGGGCATGTCCAAACCTGGGCCAGGGACCAGGACAGCCACCGGGGACCCGGCCGGCTACGAATCCATTTCTAAGTCATGAATGCGCTTGAGCGGGCAGCTGGTCACCTTGGGAGAGTGGGGAGAGGCAGGATGCCGGCGCCACCCACGGCCTCCGGACCACTCCGACCCCGTGGCAGCCCCACTCCCCCTCCCTCAGCAAGCCCCAGGCCACTCTGCTCCTTCCCTTGCACCCCTGCACATACCCCACACGCTGCACTTCAGGATCTGACAGCTACACCGGGCATATCTGGGTGTGTACTTGTGTCATGCAAAATCAGCAGTCTGCCTGGATCCATAATGCAGCCAGGAGGGCCAGAGGGGGCATCTCCCGCACCCCCACCCGGAGCCCTCCCCCTCTGCGGGGAGACTTCACCAACATGGTGCTCAGGAACCAGGAGAATCCCGAAACATCCTCTCAGGAAGAAATGGGGAAAATAACTGTCAGGCACACACAGAATCAGCCGTGACATTTGCAAAACCTGTCACAGTTTGATTTGTTCTGTGACAGTGTTTAAACACTGCAAATCTTTTAATCAAGATTAAAAAAAAAAAACCCACGGGCACCAATTTCTATAGAATCTTATCACATCAAGTGCAGATCATCTGCTCTCCCCACCCTGCACCGTCTCTCTGCACAGCGATTTTCTGCCTCTACTCGGCTTGCTGTCCACCCCCAACAGGACAATTGGCCTGTAGACGGCCCCGCTCCAGGGCCTCTGGGCTGGCAGACCTCCTCTCGGGGTCTGCGTGGCACCCTCACTGCAGGAAACGCAGGGCTGGCTGGGAAGGCCTTGCCGTTTGGAAGTACCCCCACGTTCTCGCCTCTGGATGGAACCCCAAGAATCACAGAGCAGGGCTGGAGGGACAGGGAGCTCCAGCCTGCCTCCAACCAGCCCAGGCTCCCCAGTGCCATGGCCCTACCAGGTGGGCCCACAACCCCTTCTCCTCCACCTGCCACAAGGAGACACTCAGAGCTCCCCGGGACATCACCTAAACCCACGGGTGCTGATGCTGGGAAGCCCCCCACCACCGTGCCTGTCTGCACTTCCCCCCACTGGGCCTGGCTCCGCTACCCACCCTCTGACCACCCCCTGAGCTGCACCAGAGTCTTCCGTCCAGTTCAGCTCCTCCCCCTCTCAATGTCTTCGTCCCCCCACCTCGGGGACTTCCCAGAGTTCAGCGTCCCTGGTAAAATGCACAGCCCTGCAGCATGAGGGGTCCTTGGGGATGAATGTCAGCGTCCTGGGGGTGAAGCGATGGTAGGTACCACCGTGCAGGACGCTACCCCTGGGGCAGAGTGTGGTGGGGGGTGTTTGGGATCTCTCCATGTTATTTCTTACAACCTGATGTCACTCTACAAGTATCTCAAAATGAAAAGCTTAATTTAACCTGTGGAGGGCCTGTTGGGCTCGAGGGGGTGCCCCCGCACAGAACAGAACTTGGCGAAGTTGTGCCAAAGTAAAGTAAAACAGCCCGACTGTTTTACAGCCACGGTTCTGAGATTACGTGGGCCCGACCACAGCTGCAGGGGGGCTGGGACAGGTGACCCCTGTCATGTACAGTCTATCGATATAGAACCTACACACACGTGGGATTAGCAGGTGCAGACCCTCAGCTCCTACGGAAAGTCCTGGGCCTACATCAGCCAATCAACACCTAACCTTGTTTCGTGTGTGTTTCTGTCTAAGGGCACCTTGTCCAACAACTACTGTGGACTCAGGAACATGAACGCATGAGCGCCGGCCTATCCAGCCCGGACGTGTTCTCCGGAGGGCATGTCACAAACACCAGATGATGCTACAGCACTACACTCAAGGGGTAACTGAAACAGTGAAAGCACCCCCTCAAAAAGGCACAAAGATACAAAACAAGGGGCGCCTGGGTGGCTCAGCTGGTTAAGCGTCTGCCTTCAGCTCAGGTCACGATCCCAGGGTCCTGGGATCGAACCCCGCATCAGGCTCCCTGCTCAGTGGGGGAGTCTGCTTCTCCCTCTGCCGCTCCCCTGCTTGTGCTCTCTCTCTGTCAAATAAATAAATAAAATCTTTTTAAAAAAAAGATACAAAACCAGGTGGCTTTCAGTAGTGAGAAGAGCACGTGTCCAGTCTGAGCTGGACCAAGAAGGCAGAGCGTGGCACACACACACTGGGGACTCTGATTCTCTGCTACTCTGTGCGTGTCCGCCCATGACCCCTGCAAGCTCTGGGGTACTGCGGGGGAGTTACCGGTTAGCTCTTAGCAAGTTCACAAACACGGAAGCCGTGTGAGGATGGACCGTCCCTGGGACGGCCAGGCGGGGAGCCCGGGCAGCCCTTGCGGGAAGCGCTCCCGCAGGACGCCCGCACAGAGACCGGCCTGGCTTACCATCTCCAGCTCCATGTCCAACAGCTTGCAGGCGCCATAGACAGGAGGCTCAGCTGAAAGCGGGTGGTAGAGAGAGGATGTGGTGGGTGCCGGGCCCCGGAACCGGCCGCATGGGCACACAGAGCGGGGACCAGGGAGGCCTGGGCGCTGGGGCCACTTACAGTCATCGGGGCTCATCTGCCCCATGGGCCTGCGGATCGGGGTGCCAGACACGACGACAGAGGAGGCGCGGCCGTGGTAGCCCACGGGAACGTGCAGCCTGAGAAAGGGGGAGGAAGGACGCCCGACCGTTACACGCTGCAAAATGAATTTCTACAGTTTTCAAAATTAAAAGCAAAAAGGAGTCCACACATACACACATGGTTCCAAAACCAAAAGGTAGTCCCAAGCATCCATCCACGGGCAAAGGGATAAGCAAAGTGGGGTCTACACACACCATGCACGAGGGCCACCCGGCGAGCACTAACATGGGCGGAAGCACCCGCCCGAGCCCTGACTCGGTGAGCCTCAGCGACACCACGCTGCCCGGCTCAGAAAGACCAGCACAATCCTGCTTCTGCGCCGTGGCGGACAGAGCCGGGGCAGGGGGCCTGGCGAGCTAGTGCTCAATGGGGACAGAGCGTCAGCTGTCCAAAATGAGAAAGTTCTGGGGGTGGATGGTGCTGACGGGTGCACCCCGGTGTGAGTGCACTTGGTGCTGCAGAGCTGGGCACCTCACAGGGGTTCCACCATCCTGGTGCCCAGCACCAGCGTGCTGCCGACGCTGTTCCCCCGTGGGGAACAGTAACAGTCTCCACGCACACACCGCGCTCAGAACAGGCCGGCACCACGCAGGGTCCCTCTTCAAACTCTTCCCAGACCCTCCCCACCGAGGGTGCTGGTGCAAACTCAACCCGGGGCAGAGAGGAGAGCGTCTGGGGCTTGGCTGAGGTCACCCGGTGTGGCACGCTGGCCCTGGGCATCCGACCCGGCCGGTCTGACGGCAGAGCAGTGCGGGGCGGCGGGAACACTACCAAGAGCTCGGTCTCTAAGACAGAAGAGCAGCAGAGGAAGTGAAAAAGGAAAGTGCTCCCAAATACCAAAACACACAGTAAAGTGATTTAAAATAGGCTGGTGCGCTAGGAATGGACAGCCAAGCGATCCAAGCCCCGGGCGTAGGTCACAGCGCAGCACGTGACGAACAGACGGCTCATGTCTGCACGAGTCAGACCTTGCAGTGGGCTCCCCGAAAAGTTTTTTCCACATCCCATCCCCCAGAAAACGGGAAGGTGACCTTATGTGGGAAAGGGCCCGTGTTAAGGGTCTTGAGACGAGGTCATCCAGGATCATCCAGGGGAGCCCTAAATCCAGTGACACAGGAGGCCCGGCAGAGTCAGGCCCGGGGTCGCCTGCAGCCTCCAGGAGCTGGAGAAGCAAGGGCACAGACTGTCCCCTGGAAGCTCGGAAGGAGCGCAGCCCGGCTGGAACCTCGGCCCCAGGCTCCAGCCCCCTGAGCCCTGAGGTATTCATTTCTGCCGTCATGAGCCCCTGGTTTAGAACAATCATACCGGCGTCCAGGAGATGGGTCCAGACCCACACCTCCCGTCACGCGGACAGGGAAGTTCCAGGGGGGTACCCATCTACATCTGTAAAAAGTGAGGCTACAGGAAATGCCAGGGGCAAAGCACAAAGACCATCTTCAAGTTCTTGGGCTGGAAAAAGCCTCAGGATGACATGAAAGCCAATGTCATTTAAAAAAATGATGGACATGTTTGACTTTGTGTAAAGCTTCTGTATGGGGAAAGAGAGCAAAGTAAAAAGATGCCACACTGAGAAAAAGTATTTACGATGCATGACCGCAGAGGATTCATTTCTATTACATATAAAACATTCTTTCAAATTAATAAGGGAGCAGGGTCGGCACAGAGAAGCTGGGATGTCTGCGAGAGAATATGGAAAACGGACAAGAGTTTGGCCCCCGGGAGGAGGGACTCAGAGGGGGTCCCCGGGAGGGTGGGCCCCAGAGGGCGAGCCCAGCTCAATCACAATGTGCACACATACCCCGTATAATAAAGGCTACATGCAAAGAGTGAAAAAGCCTCAGCCGTGGGCCACCTCGCCTCAAACATCCGGAGAGAAGCTGTTTGCTCTCACCTGCCTGCACGGGGCAGAGCCTGGTCTGTCTGCGCACCTGCTCTCCCAGACTCCCCCGCCCTGCTCTGCAACCTTGGCCTTGTGGCTTCACTTCTCTGGGTCATTAACCTGCTGTCTCTTTCCTTCCTCCTTCCTCGTCTTGGTTCTGACAGACATTCCTCGGCCTGGGCTCCGTGCCTGCCGCTGTGTTCTGGGTAACCGCCACATCCAGCGGACAGCACGGAACAAAGGGGCACGGATCCGGGCTCAAGGATCCTTGACCTGGGAATTAGGAGCCGCCTCTGGCCCTGTCTGTCCTCGGGCAAGTCAACCCTCCTCGGCCTGTTTTTGCTCCCGTGAAACGGGGCTAACGGCGGTTCCAGGCTTGGAGACCCACGAGCCCCTGCGCGGATCCCAGAAACGTCTCACGCTGTGAGCTGACTGCCCTTTGATAAACAGCACGGACGCACTTGAGGATTCTCAGGCATCAGAAAGTTCCAGGCATGGAGAAGGCTAGGATTCGAGGCGTGCCCACAGAGCAGGAAGACACGGCTTACAAAGGAAGGAGCCTAGAAGGGCCATACATGCTGGAGGACGAACTCCAACCTGTGTTCTCTGGACGAAGGGGCTTGAGGGACAGAGGGGCGGTCCCTCTGTTTCCGGAAGTAGTGGGTCACAGGCATGGGGGTCCCCCCTCCCCCCGCCCCGGTCTCTCGGCCCTGGGGAAATGTGCTGCTGGGAAAGGAAACACTGATCACGCTCTGGGCCCCGACATACCAATTCGGCATCAACGCATTCTCCTTGCCGCGGAACATGATCCCCACGTTGGTGGCATGCTGCCGGGAGGAGTAGAAGTCCGTGTAGTCACCTGCAGGGCAGACACGAGAGATCCCAGCTGCGGCAGCTGCCCAGCACATGGCGGGCCGGCCTCAGGGACCGGGGCCAGCCGGAGCCAGGGCCAGAGGAGGACGCAAGCGTGCAGGCGTCTCGGCCATGCCCGGTCCCGAGAGCGCACCCCTCGGCGTGATGCAAATGCAACACAATCGAGCCTCACTCGCAATTTATCTTGAGAACTCTCCTCTGAGAAACAAATAAGGAACGAGGAGCCAAGACTACCTGAAATAGACCGCGGATGCCCCTTCCCTTGCCCGGGCTTCCCACCTCTGCAGGCCCGACCCAGGGCTCTGCTCCCCACGCCTGTGCTTGAGCTGCACCTGCCACCTGCATGGCTTCTCTCCCGCACTTGTCTGGGTCCAAATCCTGGCAACACTTTGAGGCCCTTTCCCCCACTCTCTCTGGCAGGACTGCTCCCGGAGGAAGAGGAGGAAGGGAGGAGAGGGGGAGGGGCACGAGGGGGAGGAGGGCATAGGTGCTACGGGCCCGGAGGTAGAGCGGGGGACGCAAGGCCTTCACGGTCCCGATCCCAGAGGTAAGAGCTGAGGGATGCCTGGGAAGAAGAAATCTGTAACCAGAAACAGGAAAGGTCACACTCAGGGGCAGAGCCTCACAGGGCAGGAAATAACAAAATAAAGTGCGGATCACGGGCGGCGTCTGGCTGGCTCGGGGAGGGGGAGTACGACTCGTGATCTCAGGGCCATGAGTTCAAGCCCCACGTCGGGGGTAGAGGTTACTTAAAGATAGAGTCTTTAATAAATAAATCAATAAATTACTTATCCTAATGCCTCGCATACAGTGGGCCCCAAATAGGAAGTGCCCCCTTTGCCCGTGTGGGGGTCCCTGCGGCCCTGCTGTGGGTATTCCAACTCAACAGATTCAAAGATCGAATCTTTTTCACATAATAGTCCTTCAAAAAACTGTAAGATGGTGCCTTCGAAACCACGAAGAGCAGGGCGGGTGTGTATCACTCCAGCACCCACTCCGGACGGAGGAACTCGGGGCCGCACATTCAGCAGGGAGACCCTGGGGCCCTGGCAGGAGCCCACCGCACAGCCGGTCACAAAGGGGTCATCTCAGAGTTCCCACTGCTTGTCCGTCTTCAATACATGTGCGTTAAGTCTGCATCGTGGTCACTGGCAAGGTGCTGGGAAGGGTGGCGGGGGTGCAAGGTGCGGACAGGAAGCCCCCCACCCCCAGGGGCAGGTGCGCGGGTCCAGAAGCTCGCACTGACAGGCGTGACGGTGTCGTGTACCCGATGCTACTGAACTGTACGCCAAAATCGTTCAGATGGTAAATTTTATGTTATGTGTAATTTACCACAATTTAAAGACACGTTTATAAGACCACCTGAACTAAAAGCTTATTTTTCCTTAATAAAAAATATAGGTTACGAGAAACATAAGGGAAAGAGTAAGGGTGATATCGGGGGGACATGCCGCTTGGGGGGGATACAAAGGCTTATGCACGCTGTGATTCTCTCTCCATGAAGCTTCCAGAAGAGGTAAGACTGGAGACGGATGGACGGTGGTCGCCTGGTGTGGGCACAGGGGCTGAGGGGCTGGTGTTTCAGGACCGGGCTGGGGGGCCAGGCTGCACCAGTCCTCAGACGGCCTCAAACTCTCCAGACAGTGTCCTACAATGGGCGGGGGGTGCGCCCTGTGGGGAGGGGGGTTCTTAGGACACGCGCAGTTTGACCGGAGCTCTGCACTCTGCACACGTCAGCTGCTTTAACCCTCAAACCCTAGGACGGGCTAAGTCCTGACTCATGCCCCTATCCCCCTGTCCTTCAGAAGGACATTCTCCACCAAGAAGGATGCAGGCCGCAGAACACAGCACAGGCCTGCCAGGGCCCCGCAGCCCCAGATTCCGGAAGCCTCTGAGCACAAGGTGCACCAGCACCCCGGGGCTGGGAGACAAGCGTGCAGAGCCTCCCTCTGCTTCAGCTAAGGGAGTTTGCACAACTGCAACTTGCCGGTTGAAACTTCCATCAGACTCCCTGCCGAGGATTCAGACAGGGGCTCTCCAGGACTCTCTTCCCTCAAACCCCCGCCTCAGACTCACAGATGAGCTGGGAGCACATCCTGCAGCCTCGCAGACAGAGCGACTTGCTGTGAAGGGCGCCAGTGCCGACTGCAAATCCCAGCAGCCAGCAACCACCCAGCGAGGGCTCTGGCTTTTGGACTGGCCTGGGTCTGTGGAGCGCAGCGGGTAGAGCCCAGAACCCTGCCCTGCTCCCACCCCCGGCAGGCAGGAGGCCCCAGCACCCCGCCAGGCATCGTGGCCCACTGAGCTGCTCGGGTACAGGGACCATACGTACCTATGGTGGCCGGCAGGTGCATCACAGCAGAAGCCTGGGCAGTGAACGCACTGCAACACAGAATCAGGGCTTCAAGGTCAAGCACAAAGTGGGGTCCCTGTTCTGGCCGCCCACTGCAGGCTCAGCCCCTGCTCACAGTCTTGGGCTGGCCCAGGGCCAGGCTGGGCTGCAGCAGGCCACCCCGGGGAGGGCATGTTCCCACAGGAGCCATGATGCCTCCTCCCTGCTCCTATTTTCCTCTCTAGAAAATGGGCCAAATTACTCTTTCTCTGGAAACCAGACATGGACATGAAGGTGCTGATGAGTGAGTGGGCTGGACCCGGCGGGGACCCTGCAGTCGGGGCACACGGGTTCTCCCAGTTGGCCAGAGCCCTGCCACCAATACGCAGTGGAGGCAGGGGCTGGAGGAGACGGAGGCAGCCGAGCTGTGGCTCAGAATGGCCCTGACCACCACACTGTCCCCTCTCACCACCCGCCCACGCCCGCGTGCCCCTCACCGTCTCCGAAGCTCCGTGTCGTCTCGGAGCCTGGTGTGGCTGGTGGACAGCAGGTTCTGCAAGAACGCTCTCGCCTCCTTCCAGGCAGCCTGGCCCAGGCCCATGAAGCTGTTCAGAGCGGGCTACACGGGGACAGAGAGGGCGGACGGCACATACAAGAGGCTGGGGAGAGAGGCCAGCCGCCTCCGGGGCCTTGCACTGCCAGGACTTTCCCTCTGCCCCTGGAGTTGGGGAAAGTGTCGACCCCTGCCCCTGGGTTTGCCCGCGGTCGGCAGATGCTGGGAGCCACTATCTGTGTGGGGTGCTGCCGGGGACACGGGGCCTGGGGTGCTGCTGGAGGGGGCTGCGTTCCTGCCATGGAAGCACACCCTCCATCTGCCATCTGTGGCGGCTCAGTCCCCACGCACCTCTCCAGCTAGGCTGTGAGGTTCTTAGCCGTGGTGGTGGGACAGGGGCAGCACCGTGGCCTAGGGGCTCCGATACTTGTAGCCACGTGATGTGGGAGACTCGTGGCTCATTTCAGATGAGATCCCCATCATCTACTGAGGATCTGAGTGCTGTGCCAGAGGGTCGTTGTGAGGACCGGATGGGAGGCGTGGGTGGAACTCCCGGCACACAGGAGGTGCTCGATAAACACCGTCCTAAGTCCTGACCCACAGAACGGGAGGTGACATCACAGTGCCACGTCCATCCCACAGGGACACGGACTTCAGGCTGACTCCCAGCTGGTGGCATTTGTAACAAATCCAGCAGACATGCCGTGTCATGGAGTCCTACCTGATCGAAGACATCCTGGTGTTTGGAGAGGACAGGCCCAGTGAAGAGGTGCTTAATGACACTGAGGTCCAGGATCTGGTCGCCAATGGCCACGCCGATCCTCCGCCTTGGCTACGAGGGAGATGGAATGGTCAGCACTGGGGAAGGCCTTGGCCAGTCTTGGTTATTTACCCGAAAAATCTGTCTAGTGAAGAGCCCGTGGGTCCCCCCTTTAGATGGCCCTCTAAGGAGAGGGACTGAAGAACTGGATCCTTAGCGCCTGACCCCAACTCCCTTTGTCTCCCTGTGGACTGAGATTGCTCCAGGGATCTCTGCCCTGGCAGAACCTGGGACCCTCTCTGCTTCTAGGACCAGAAAAGAATCTATGTTCACTGCATGGGAAATAAATCCAACATCCCTTGGAAAGGAGAAGGTGCAAGTGGCCTAGTTCAAGCCCCTTATGGAGGCAAAGTCCCCAGAGAAGTTCCTCAGGAGCTCACCACCTCACTGAGCCACTGGATTATTTCCCAGAATTGACCTAGGCCTTCCCTTGGAGGAATTTCTTTGCACAGCAGAGCAGAGAGCACCCCAGGCACAGTGCTGAGAGCCAGGGGCTTGGATGAATGAGGCCTGCTCTGGCTCAAACAGGGCAGAGCTCAGGTCATGAGGGACCACGAAGCCACGCAGCTCAGAACATGCAGGGGAGTTCCTTGCCACAACATAAAATCCCAGCATCAGCTCTGATTCCTGGCCTTCGATCCAAGACCGAGCTTTGCTGGTCAGCAAAGAACCGGAGACCCGACCTCTGGGAGCCCTGCCCTGAGCCGAACCCCCAGCTCTCCTGGGTGACCAGCTTTGCCATCTCGGCTCTAGAGAGCCTAGAGGTGGGATGACAGGCTGGCCTTCTCCCCGCTGGCTGCTCATTTCAGCAGGCTGAGAGGAGGTGGCCATCTCCCCGTGCCTGTCAGGCCCGGGGACTGGGGCAGACGAGAGCCACACCCTCAGCCAGCCCTGCCTGGGGGGCCTGGCTACCCCTTCCCCGAGGCACTGCTGACTCCTTGGGCCTCGGTCTCCCCCTCCGGTAAATGGCAACGGACACAATGATGAGCACCTGGACCTCAGTGGCCACCCCCCACGGGGTGTGCAGGGCAGACCCTGGAGCCATTTTCTGACCCTGGCCTCCAGGCCCACTGAAGAAGGAGCCAACGCCACCGAGCAACCTCCAAGACCTAGTGATGAGCTTGGGGCCAGCTTCCCCAGCTGTAAGCAAAGCCCAGAAGCTGCCCTTGTGCACCCAGCTCTGACCTGAGGACCCCAAAAAACAGGGGTCTGTCTACTTTCAGGGCTCTTGGCTGGCTTCATCGGTAGAACGTGTGACTCTTGATCTCGGGGTTGTGAGTTCGAGCTCCATGTTGGGTGGGGAGATTGCTTAGAAATGAAATCTTTAAAAAAATAAAAACAAATTCAGGGAGCTTAATTTTGCAGTGCTAGATGTGAAGGGGCTCCTGGCTGGGATCCAGGACCCTTGAGTCCCCACCCGCTCTGTCACTCACCATCCTGTCTCTTGGGACGAGTCCCTAGTCCTCTGAGGGCTCAGGGTCCCCTGCCTAACGTGAGGAAGACAAATTCGGAAGAGATATCCCACTGGTCTGACTGTGAGAGAATGCATGTGCATTGCCTCTGGGTCGTATCTGATGGACAGCTGTCCAGAGAAAAGCTTTACCCCACTCCCAGCACGGGGTTTGGAACCTCTCCCACGTGGGGTGCAGTCCCAGTTCTGTCCTGACTGGCTGTGAGACCTGCGGCGCGGTTCTTAGCCGTTCTGAGCCTCAGTTTCCTCCTCCATGAAATGGGGACAATAACGTAATAACAGGTTTGCTGTGGGAGTTCAATTAATATCTGTAAATCTCTTATCATGAGGCCAGACACAGGGCAGACATCCATTCAGACAAAAACCATTACAAAGCCTCTTCTCCACACCAGCAGGACACAACGGCCGCTAGAGCACCAGGGACAGAGGAGGGATTGGTGTGGGCTGTCCGGACGCAAAGGCATGGGCACAGGGTGCGGTGACAGGCAGTAGGTGTGGCTGGGGTGCAGCAGGGAGCTCATTCAGTGAGGGTGCTTAAGGGATGTGTCTCCGAGTCCTGGAGAGTGAGTGGGAATTAGGCCTGCACAGAGTAGAAGGAAGAGTATTCCAAACGGAAGAAACGATACATGCTAAGGTCCTGAGGCGGAAAAATGCTCTTAGAATGTTCCAGAAACTGAACGGCAGCCCGTGTGGCTGGAGAGAGCAGAGGGCCAGCAGGCAAAGGCAGGACCAGACTACAGGGACTCTAACAACTTGGCCATCGGCTGCAGACCACTGTGGGCGGCACCCCCATCGCCAAGGTCATCATTCCCGTCTTCACAGACAAAGCCTCCTGTGTTCTGCCAATCCATGAGCACCCCGAAATGGGGGGAGGGTGTCTCATGTGCCTTTGATCCCCGACCCCCCTCCCAGAGTATGGCCCAGAGTTGGGGTTCTTAGGCATTCCCTGAATAAGAGAATGAATGAAGTAATGACGGGATTAATTCACTCGTGTTCCACCCAAATTATGAAGAGCTGGCTGCTGGTGTGCAGGGGAGAGGCTGTGCCCTGGCGAGCACACCAGCCTGGAGAGGCAGTGGTGACCCTGCCACGTCCACTGAGGGCAGGACAGCTTCAGATGAGGCCTGTTCCCACACGCACGCCCTGAGCCTTCCGGAAAGCCCGAGGGGCTGCGTGCTTTTCAGAGAGCCACAGGAAGGGGCTCTGTCTCCAGGCCTCCCCAGTGGCTGTCCCTGCATGTTCCAATTTGCCAGTAGCAGGGGCCTGGGGTCCAAAGGCCACCAGCCACCCTCCAAGGGGCATTCATTCCAGAGTCCTGGACTCACCAGCCTTGGGGCTTGGGCAGAGCGTGGTTGGCTAACACAGGTCAAGGGTTAACCTGCCTCATTGTATTCCTGTCCCTCCAGGGGACCGAGAGTTAACTTTCTGTGTCCTCGCAATGTTTGCTCAGGCCTGGCCATTGTGAAACCACACACTGGCTCTTGTAGACAAAGGCATTTGCGGCAGGCAGGCCCACAGAAGTCCAGCCACTTGGGGGTCAAAGATCCGCCATGGGGGAAGGGGCAGACTACACTTACTAAGTGAAAGCTCCTTTTTCTGTCCAAAGGGCTTCTTCCAATGAGCAAGGGAATGCCTGGCAGCCCACCCCAGGAGCTGAAAGAATTCTAGCTGGAGGCAGATTAATTTGACATCTCCGAGCCCACAGCTGAAGGCCAGCAAATGTGCTCATCCCTCTAAAATACTAAAAATGTTGAGGTCCTCAGCATTCCCCTGGTCCTAGTGTTAAGGTCTAACCTGCGAGATGAACAAGGAGCCATAACATAGTATCTTGGGGGCAGGAAACCACAATGACTTTGGAGGAAGCAGTAAGGCCAGGCGCTTCAACTGCTCAGCACCAATAATGGGACTTGGGGTGCCTGGGTGGCCCAGTCAATTAAGTGTCTGCCTTCAGTTCATGGAGCCCCGAATCGGGCTCCCTGCACAGCGGGGAACCTGCTTCTCCCTCTCCCTCTGCCCCTCCCCCAGCTCCTGCTTGCGTGCTCTCTCTCTCTCTCTCTCTCTCGCGCGCGCGCGCGCAAAAAAAAAAAAAAAAAAATCTTAAAAAAAACAACTCAATAATCGGACTTGCTCTGCTTGCCTGGGAGAGACAGCTGCAGGTTCTGTTTCATCCCACACGAACCCGCCCAAACAGGCGCAGAGGCTCAATTATGTGCACATCTAGAAAGTTACCAGGCGGGATTCGGACCCACATACACTGGGCACCACAGGCTCCTCAACAGAGAGCCCCAAGCCTCCAACCGCCCCCATCTCACTCCCCCTGCCCCCAGTGACCTGGGGGGGAGGGGCTGCCTCCGCGGGGCGCGTCCAGCAGGGGAACCAAAGGCCGGCGTCCTGCCTGGTGGGTACTGGCCACAGGTTTCGGGGATTGGGGCGGGGGTCCCAGTGGAGGGGGCACCCTCCCGTTCCCGCCCGGAGGCCGAGCGCAGCAGCTCACGTTGCCTGGGGTGGAAAAGACGCCGTACGGCAGGTTGTGGATGGGGAAGTCAGAATCCTCGGCCACCGCGACGAAGGACATGCTGGCCAGTAAGGAGCAGGGCCGCGGGCTGCACTCCGCTGGGTCAGACAGGATCGCGCTCCAGCTAGCTCTGCTCCCGACCCCAAGGCCCCGCCCCCGAGACTCCACCCCCAGGGCTCCGCCCCCACGACCACGCAACTCCCCCCCGGGCCCCCCCCCGGCGCGGCAAGGGTCCCCCCCCCCCCCCGCGGCTCCCCCCCCCCCGGCTCCGCCCCCGCGGCTCCACGGCTCCACCCCTGGCTCCACAGCTCCACCCCGGCCCTGCCCCCGTGGCACCAAGGTTCCGCCCCCTTCAGCTCCACGCTCCGGCCCCCCGCGGCCCCGCGGCCCCGCTCCTGCCCCAAGCTCGCAGGGACCCGCAGCGCCCCTCTGCGGAACGCTCGCCGGACCTCGCCGCCCCGCACAGGCTTCCCCCCGCAGAGCCCTGGCTCCCCTGAGACAGGGGTCCAGCTGCCCACCAGTCCAGCTACCGGGCCCTGGGCCCACCGACAGCAGCGCCCACCTGGCACTGGCGGCTCCGCCCTGGGTGACCCCAGCCCTGCGCACCCCTTCCTCCCCCTGGGCTCCGCGAAGTCCCGAGGGCTGCCGGGACGCCGTGGACGCGACCCCCTGGCTCAGAGAGTCCTGCCAGAGTCCGGCTGACCCGTCAGCTGCGACACTCCCACTCTGGGCCATAGGGACAGGCGTGCCTTCGGAAGGCTGAAATTAATGGGAATTAAGTATAAAAAGTATAGCTCACCTGCTATTTCACATTCTGATGTTAAAATGACGCTGACAAGCTGTTTGACCTCGGACAAGCCACTTAAGCTCCTTCTGCTGCCCGGGCTTTGTCCTCCGTGGGACACAGTGTGGATGACCATCGCTTCTGCTCCATCCAGGGGATCTGAGAAGTGAATTAACGGTGGGTGCTTGTGCACACAGGGACACAGGTGCTTGTGTTAGAGAGAGGACAGGAGAGACAGACACAAAGGACAGCAGATTCACATCCCCATCCTCTGTCCAGGGCAGGTGGTCACAGCTAAGTGGATGGAGATTGCAGGTCTGCCTCTGACATGAATGAAGTGCTTAGCCCTGAGCAAGTTAAACTCTGCCCTCATCAGTTTGCTCATCTGCAAGATAGAGGGCAAGAATCGTGCCTACTCTGGGACCTGCATGGTGGCCGAATAATGCCTGGCACAGAGTTCATCAGTTAAGTATTTTTCCCTCCAGGGACATCCAACCAGAATGTTAGCCATTCCTTTGTTTCTGAGTTTTGCTTTTCATTATGAAGAAGACAACCAGAAAAGGAGAGAACACTACTATAAAAGCAAAGTGGTCATCACTGATTGAAAATAAGTTTATAATATAAATGCAAATTCCTTAGAAATCTAATGAAATTATTCTCTTAAAAAGAGTTAAAATTTTGGGGCGCCTGGGTGGCTCAGTGGGTTAAGTGGCTGCCTTCGGCTCAGGTCGTGATCCCGGGGTCCTGGGATGGAGCCCCGCATCGGGGTCCCTGCTCCGCGGGGAGCCTGCTTCTCCCTCTCCCACTCCCCCTGCGTGTGTTCCCTCTCTCACTCCCTGTGAAATAAATAAATAAAGATATGCAACCAAGCCAAGTGCCCATCCACAGACGAATGGATAGAGATGTGGTGTACACACACACACACGGGAATATTACTCAGTCATAAGAAAACAATGAGATTCTGCCGTTTATGAGCGCATGGATAAACCTAGAGGGTATCATGCTAAGTGAAAGAAGTCAGAGACAAATACTACATGATTTCATTCATATGGAACCTAGAAAATGAAACAAACAAAACAGGAACAGATTCATAAATACAGAAAACAAACAGGTCGTTGCCAGAGGAGGGTGGATTAGGGAGGCGTCGACATATGTGAAGGGGATGAAGAAGTACAAACTTCCAGTTACAAAGTAAAAACGTCACAGGGATGAAAAGTACAGCACAGGAAATATGGTCAATAAGTGTGTAATCACTTTGTGTGGTGACAGATGGTGACTGCCCTTATGTTGGTGAGCATTTGAGACTGTATATGGTTGTCCAATCACTATGTTGGACATCTGAAACTAGTATGTCAACTGTACTTCAATTAAAAATTTCTTTAAAAAAATTAAGTTTGAAGGTCTAATGCACAGCATGGTGGTTATAGTTAATAATACTGAGTCATATGCTTGAATGTTGCTAAAAGAGTAGATCTTAAACGTTCTCACCATAAAAAGACCTGGTAGCTATGTGATGGGATGGAGGTGGTAGCTAATACCATGGTGGTAATCATTTTGCAATTTATAAATGTATCAGTCAACACATCCAACACCTTCAAGTGACACAGTGTTATGTAAGTGAAGAGGAGGGAGGCCCCGAAGCCAGAAGGCCCTGATGTGACCGGCGCTGACCAGCCATCACCCTGTCAGGGGCTCCCTCTGGTCCAGCCTCCCGGCTCTCACCCCCGACCAGGGGCAGACCAGTTTTGGTTGAGTCTGATCTGCCTCTGATCTGGCAGAGGGAGGGGGTCTGACTTGTTCCAGGAGATTCCAGAAGCGGGTGAAGGAAGAGTGTTCCAGCTGGGTTCTGAGGCCTGACCAGAGGCACTCCCAGGCGGCACCTGGTATCTGCTGATTCTAGGGCCACTGGGCTGCAGGGCCAGGAGCCGTTTGCATGCTCTGTCCTGGCCCTGCCCCTCCTCCTACAGGCACGAACGGTCTTCTTCTGTGCGTGGCATGGTGGACACCCAGCCGGACACGTGGCACAGAGTGGGTGCTCTGTAAATACGTAAGCAAGCACGCACTATAGAACGGCTGACGAAAGGCAGTTAACCCAGGACCAGTGAGCCGCACCCATGCCGGGCCTAGAGGGAGCTCCAGGGCCTTGTCTCTGGAGCAGGCCCACCGAGAGCCGTAGTGGGCGAGGCGCGGCCACTGCACACATGTGGGCTAACGAAGGCCTGGATGATAGAGAAAACCAAACACCTTTTTGGGGGAAGGGCGTGGGGCAGATGTGTGTGTGGGAAGGGGTGTGGGCCTGGGAGAGCTGAAGTGGGAGGAAGACTTCGTAGTTTTAAAAATAGACTCGCCAACCCACTAATTATATATCGGGCCTGAAAACGCCAAAGCTGTTCTCCATTTGGAAAAAACCATGAGAAGTAACTCTGCAAACATGCTCTATTTTCTTCTTTCTCCCTTTTGGGGAGGGGGATGTGTTGAGCATGTACATGACAATTATAAAAAAGAATTTTAAGGAAAAACGATGGCCTGCAACCCCGCCATCCTGCAGCCCTCACCCGCTCTTGTTACTCATTCCAATTGCATGTGCATGATTTTTCCGTCTTCGTGAACTTTAAATAGAGGCAATTTTTCAGTCCTTCCCTATATTTTTCTCCTGAACGTTTTTCCATGTGGCCAAATCGGTTTTGTTATTACCAGTTTCGGTGGCTGAAGAAGTGGCCATGCTTGCTTGGGGACTGTCACAGGAACCGAGCGGTGAAGACCTGTGCGTGCACGATGTTCTCCAACACGTCTGTCGGGGCGGGGGGGTGAGTCCCTGGGTGGACGGGGGTGGACGCTCTCAGGACCGGAAGCGAGCTTCAGCACCTCCATGGCTATGGGCTGGTTTGAGCCCCGGGGGCACCAAATTCGGTGCCTCCCTCGGATGCTACAGCATAGCACCCAGAGGCTCCAGCCCTGGGGGCCTTTGCACACAGGCATGCCCCTCACTCCTTGGCAAGAGAAGTGGGAAGGGGCTTTCTGAAGGGCCCTCAGACCAGCAGCAGGTGGACACTCCTGTGAGAGAACAGAGTGTCCCTCGGGTTTGCAGAGGATCATACTCCTCCGGGAATGAGCCGTAAGGAGCGAAGGCGTGTGTTCGGTCCAGGGCTGGGCGGTGATCGCAGCCCCTTTTCCTGCCTAGCCTGCGCAGAGCCCAGTGAACTCGTCCAGCCAGCGCCGGGGGTCTTGCAGCAGAGTCCCTCCCTGCTGTCCTTCAGGCCATCTTCAGGCTGCTCTGTTTCAGGCACTGCTGTGTCCCTGTTGGGATGGAACGCCCCCCGCCAGCCATGTCGGGGCCGAAGCTGGATCTGAAAGAGCTGCAGACGGCCCGCGGCATGGCCGATGGAGGAACTATGACAAGCAGCTTGGCAAGGAGACGTGGAGCGGGCAGTGAGTCTGCTTCTCCTGTTCCTCCTGCAACAAGGAATCTGAAATCGGGTGCTCTCTCCCTGCGATTTCAGCAAGGCCCTCATCACTTGGTTTCGCTCTCTCGCGTGAACATGTATTGAAGAGTTTTCCCCTTCCAAACGCTTTTCTCCATGTGCGTTTTCCGGGCCTTTTTGCGTGACAGTTGCGGGTCCCCCGCCGGGCCCAGAAATGCAGAGGAATTTTGACACTTAGCAGGCACTCCGTATCCTGCCTGTTTGGTGTGGAGGTGATGCCCAGTGCCTCTCTCCCCGAATGTGGCTTTCCTCTGTCAATAGGAACTGCTCCCCAAAATACATCTCCCCTCAACACCTCTGCTCCCTTCTTCTAAGATTCCCCAGGAATGAAGCATCAAGGTGAGGCCTGTTTCTCTCTCCCCTAAGGTTTCTGGACACAAGCTCTACCCCTGGGTCTGCCATCAGCCTCCCGTGCCTCTAATCCAGAGCACCCCACCCCACGCATCCCTCTGTGCTGGACAGACCAGGGGCATCTGGAAACTTCATGACTACCATGTCTGGGCTCCCTTTCGAGGGGTGTGGGCTGCATCCATGCCCTCCTCCATCCGTTCCTGGGGCTCCACTTGTGTGCCCACGGAAACTAGGGCAGGCGCCCTGGACGCCATCACTGGGCTAGACCATCACTGTCTGACCGAATGTCCTGCAACAATGAAGGTGTTCTACATCTGTGCAATCCGACACAGAGCCACGAGAGTGTCTGAAATGTGATCAGTGAATGAGGAATCCAAGCCCTCATTTTATTTAATGGCCTTTCCATAGGAACTTCTGAACTACTTCTACCAGTATCCACAACTTGCTGAGACTTTGATTGGGATTGTGTTGAATTTATAGACCAAGTTGGGCAGAACCGAGGATATGGAGTCATCCTTCAATGAACATGGAATAGCTCTCTGTTTATTTAGATCTTCTTTGATTTAATTAATTTTGTAGTCTTCCCCACAGAGATCTTGTACGTACTTTTATTAGATTTTTACCTAAGCATTTCATTTTTTTTTTTTTTAAGATTTTATTTCTTTATTTGACAGAGAGAGACACAGCGAGAGAGGGAACACACGCAGGGGGAGTGGGAGAGGGAGAAGCAGGCTTCCTGCCGAGCGGGGAGCCCGATGCGGGGCTCGATCCCAGGACCCTGGGATCATGACCTGAGCCGAAGGCAGATGCTTAACTGACTGAGCCACCCAGGCGCCCCCTAAGCATTTCATGTTTTTGCCAGTGCTAATGTAAAATGGTCTGTTCATTTCAAATTCAAATTTTTTGTTGCTGGTCTTTATTAAGTCAACTGATTTTTGTATATTAACCTTGTGCCCTGCAGTCTTGCTGTAATTGCTTATTCATTCCAGGGGTTTTTATGTTGATCCTTCGGAATTTTCCTAAATCAACAATCATGTCATCTGTGAACAAAGATGGTTTTATTTTTTCCTTCCCAATCTGTATAC